TATGATGTTTTGATATTAGATAAATCATAAAACTTTATTTATTTATAAAAACTTATATATTTATCGATAAATTCATAATTTTTTTTACATGATAAGAATATATTCAAATAATTATTTAAATAAACTCATAAAATCATCGTTATTATAAACGATATTATTTTTGTAATAAATTGTAAATTTCTTAATATCACAATAGAAGATCATAGATTTTTTATCATTTTTATCAATAGTGAAAGGTCTGATATTAATATTATTTTCAAAATCGAAAAAATAAGAGAGATCCTCATCATCAATTTCATCGAATTTGATAATTTCTTTATAGATACGAGTTTCTTCAAGTTCGACAAATTCACAAATTCTACGAATCTCCATTTTCAAAAAATCTCTTTTAACAAAATTAAATGTGAGATAACCGTTACCAACAAAGAGAGTAAAGGAACGATATTTTTCTAATTTTTCATTATCTTTAAGCCAAAGATATTGTTTATTTTCATTATTTTCGATTTCAAAATATTTATCTTCTTTTTAGTTAATATTTAAAATATCATTTCTAGTTTCTTTATTCATATCAATTAAATCTTGTTCGATTTTATTCTGTAATTCTTCCAAAGATAATTTAGAAACTTTTTCTTTATCATCTTCTAGAATCTTTTCAATTTCTTCTTTTTGAACATCAAAAAATTTTTTTTCAGACATTATAGAATTATTTTTGATCGATATATTTGATAATATATCATTAATGAAAAAAAAATGCTTTATTTATTAAATCGAATAATTACTAATATTAAATAAATTAATAATTTTTATATATTAATTTGAATTAGTAATTTTTAAAAATGACTTATTCTTTTTTTCTATCATAGATTTCTTTTCGGAATTTAGTTTCCATTTATTATTAATAAAATATCTATAAAATATCATATTTTTTTCGGTTGAAAAAAAAATCAGAACAGATAAATTCACTAAAATCATCTTTAAATATGACTACAAAAGAAATTCCTAGTATTGTAGATAATCTTTTATTTTCGAAAGAAAACAAAACTAAGAAAAGATTAATTAGTAATCTTTCTACTAAAAATAATAAAGCTATTAAAATTTCTGAAAGTAATAGAAAAAATTTAAGAAATGATCTTGTTAATTTAATAGCATTACATTCTGAAAAAAGCAAAGAAAGAAATAATCATCTGAGTAATATTCATAATCAAGATATCTTGGCTAAAGATTCTTTTATTTGGTTGATCGCTGATGCTAGAAGTACTGAAGATAGAGTAAAAGAATTGGAATATGGTAAAAAATTTTATGAAGACTCTATTGGAACTGAAGTATTTGGATTTGCTGCATATACTTATGGAAAGGTTTTAATCGATGATGAAGAAAAAGGAATAGAAGCGAAAAAAATATTTGAAATCGCATTTTTTCAAGGTGGATACATTGACGCAATTAATAAACTTCATGAATATTTTGGAGATGATATTAAAATTTTTTATGAAGAAAAATTTAAAAATGATGATTTACATGATCTCGAATATTTCTATTATGCTGAAATCCTTCTTGCTGATAAGATTATTAGTGAGGATAGAGCTAGTTATATCATGGATATTTTAAATGTTGGTGTTGAGAAGGAAGATAAAAATTGTCTTTTGTTATATCATCATATGTTACAAAAAAAGATGGGTTCAAAAGAACATCAACTTAATAAAGAACATATTGCTGATATGTTCAAAGCTAATTTTAATAATGAAAAAATGGAATTAAAATCAATCAATAATAATCTTATTGTAAAAATGAAAAAGGAAATAAAATTTAAGCCTGAAGATCATATGGTGACTAAATCTATTAAGGATCTTGGCATTATTTACAAACAGAAGAAAAATTCTAGTCCAATTGGTGATAAATATATGGAAACCGATGAAACATTAATTGATTCATATGATTTAGGTGATTTAAATGATATTGAAAGATTGAGTCCTAATCATTATATGGGAAAATTATTATTTGGAAATAAAAAATAATATTATCAAATATAATATTTAAATATATTTTATTTTTTTTTATTATTTCTATCATAAATTATGCAATATTAAATATTTTTTATTATTATTATATCTATGTATTATTTATACAATATTCATTATGCAAATAGCTATTTTACGATTATAATTATTAAATAAATATATGATTTAAACTAAGATAAAACAAATTTAATAATGATTTTTTTATTTTATCAAATACAAATTTAATCAATAAACTATAAGATATTACACCATGTGTAAGGATTTAAATATGTCCAGCTATTCAATAGAAAATGTAAGTTAATATTTTATCAATTAATAACAAAAATATTTTTTTCTTACTTAGTTGGTATGAAATAATAATATTGAGTAGGTGGTATAATAATAATTGGCGAGTCAGCATTATTTGTATTTGGTTGTTGTTCATTTGGTTTATTAAGATTTTGATCATCTGGTTTATAATCATCTGGTTTCTTTTCTTCGGGTTTTTTATCATCTTGTTCATTATTTTTTTTATCAGGACTTTGATCAGGAGGATTTGTGTTGGTGGTGGAGGTGGAGAAGTATTAACAATAACAACTGGTTGATATCCAGGAGGTATATAATAAATTTCACTCATATTATAGTTTTTGTGTCAAT